CTATCTTGGTTATTCCTAGAATATTTCGTTCTATTGAGCGTTGTGCTACCTGTAGTTTCCTTATAATGTCCGTTTTAATTGCCCAGGTTTCGCATGCATAACTGGTAGAATAAACCAGTCGAATGTTTTCTTCTTTAGATGACTTGATAGTGGCATTCTAAATTTAAATATGATTGAGTTTCTTCCATAAATACTCCAGGCTAACTTAATTCTTCTGTTGATTTCTGCTAGTAAAGATCCCGAGCTGCGTTGTTAGTTGTCCCAAATATACAGGGTGTCCCAGGTTCCAGGCTGTTTCTAGAGAACCACAATATCTATATCGGAGATTTTTTGCACTTCATTGTTTTACAAAGAGATCTATCGATTAAAAATATTTTCAGTATGGCGACACTTCCGGAAATACCGGAAGTTGACAGCAACTTTCTTATCTTTATCTAGGCAGTTTTTTTCGTTCAAAAATTTTAAATATTTTTTTTTATTTAAATTTAAATTTTAAGGATAATTTAAGTATGTAATAATAAATGGGGGTACCGATTTAAAATAAGAAAGTTGCTGTCAGCTGCCGATATTTCCGGAAGTGCTGCCATATTGAAAATATTTTTAATCGATAGATCTCGTTGTGAAACTATGATGTGCAAAAAATCTCAGAGCTAGATGTTGTAGTTCTCTAGAAACTTCTAACGCACGCTCAGCCTAGGACACCCTGTATATATTCTTACTATTTCCAGTGTTGTGATATTTATTAGAATGTATTTTCTGTATACTAGTTCGTTGTACATTACTTTAGTTTTTGCTAAATTCATTTTGAGACATACTTTATTGCTGGCTGTATTTAGTTCGTTAATTTGTGCTTGTAGATCTTCAGGACTATTGGCAATTAGGACTATGTCACCAGCAAATCTTAGATAGTAAAGATATTCTCCATCTATTCTTAATCCTTTGTTGGTCCAGTCCAGTTGACAAAAGATTTCTTCTAGTGTTGCTGTAAATAGTTTTGGGGATATTGCGTCTCCCTGACTCGTCTTCCCTTTGCCAGTTGAGAACTTTGGGGTTGTTTTATATATCATTACTCTTGCTTTGGCTTCCTTTTTTATATTAGCAAGAGTTTTTATGTCAGGCCTGTCAATACCTTCTATTATTGCCTTAGGATATATTATATATCGAGTTGAAAGTCTTCTCAAAAGCTATGGTTAGTGGAAGTTCTTATTCTTTCTAATCTATAAATTGGGTTAAATATTAGGCTTTTGGGTTAAAAATGACGCCCTAAAAAGCATATTCTACGTTACTTTTTTTTTGGGCCCCCCTGAAATAAATTCCTGTATCCGCCCCTGGTACTAACAATGTATTGGGAAATTAAAATAACTGTGGCTACACATCATAATACGACCACCAGCAAACTCCATAAGACGACGCATGGTGCCATTGATGACGTGCAAAAAAGTTGTTTTAATTTCCCGTTATTTTGAAATCCACTTCTCAAATAAAATTTCATTAATTATTGTTGCTACTAGATACTTACAATTATTAGTGGGAAGTCTATTTTTTCCAACTTTGTTTAAAAATTTGCAACATCTTTTTAAAATTTAAAATAATAAAATAGAGTTATGACAATTTGTAGAGATTTGCATGTGTCCAGGCAGCTAGTAAATACTACTCTTACTAGGATTATTCAAATTAATGAGCAGACAAAACCGTATTTTCAGAGCAACGTCAATTTTTCAGAGAATCACAGGATTTCCGAGAAACGTTGGCGCTTTTGGGAAAGCAATATTACAATAATTCGCAGTGAGTAAGCTCGTGAGTGCGAAATGATTTAAGGCTATTTTTGAAATTGGTGCTTTCCTAACAATACACAAACCGGTCTATTTAAGGTATTTTTTTCACGTATCCTTGATGGAAATAATAAAATATTCTTGACGTAATAGAAATAAAAATGAACTACAACTAAATATATTTTTTATTGCGATTGTGGTATATATTTAGACGCACTTTCTATATTTACAAACGCGGTTTTGCCCGCCTCGAATCATTTCTAAAGTGTTAGTTTAGCTCTATATAATATTTTCGCCTTGACACATGCTTATTGAAAATATTTGATATTAGCTTTGCCGAGAGGACGAACAAGTGTCTCCTTCGAGCCGTTCCAGATTTCGTCCCAAAAATGTCTGGAAGGGAAGAAGGGATTGAAAAGATTTTATGTCGCATTATCACTCTTTCGAAAATTGTGTTAAGGTCGCGACAACAATTAAAGCGAAGGTTTTGATGTGGAGATGATGAACAACAGGATCAACTTTTTCAATATTCTTCTAGATAAAATAAGTATTTGTATTTACTTTTATTTTAAAATAAAAAAAGACTGATCGAATGTTATACAGGATTCTGCAAAAGTCGGTATAGTTATAAAAAAATCATTTACTTGTTGAACTGTACAGAGTGTCGCAAGATTCCGTGGACATAGAACTACCACGTATTTTTGGAATCAAAATAATTTCATTGGATACAATTTACCTCTATACAGGGTGGCCTCTCATACGCCGCGGAAGCTCCAAGGAGAACGCTAGTTTATATAGAAATGAAATTTTGGCAGCATATGTAGGTTAACTGAAAGCATTTTATAAAAATATATAGAATTATACAGGGTGTCCCCCAAAAAGTTACACATCAAAGTTGTGTTTTTTTTCTAATGGAACACCCCATATATTAATTAATTTTCGGATTCTAAGAAAAAGATAATGGTGACTGTTATTAAAGAAGCATATACCTAAAATCTAAGGATTTTGACATATTTCACATTTTGTGAAAATGAAGAGTAAATTTTAAATTTTGCTAACAGCTACCTAAATTGTAGTTGACCTTGTATAGCCTGATATTTAATTACAGTAATCATTGTACATTAAACCAAATTGAAATTTGACCCGAAAAGTTATACAGGGTGAGACAAAATTAATATGGAACATTAGTCACTTTTAAAAGCAAGTTACTCCATTATTTTAAATGGAACACCTAGTATATTTTTCCGGTGTTCAATGGGGAATTTATATATCTTCAAAATATTATTAAGGTTGCCTACCCCTCAGACAAAGATTTTTCTAGATATTTTAATTTTTATGATTTTGCGTCAGTAGATTTATTATTAGAAAAAATCTATGGGGGGCGGGGGGAGTGGCTGTGTGATATACCTTTTGTTAATTAAACAAAAATTAAAGATTGTAGAGTAAAATATCCAACGGTAATAAAAAGATACACGTTATATAAAATATATTTTAATTATTACAGAATTAAAACTAGATATAAACTTATAATTACGTGACAAAAATTAGCTACATGAAATCAAATGCTCAAAATGCTTCCTTTCCTATTAACTGCATAAAATGATTGTCTTTTCAAAAGGATCTTTTCATAATAAAAGGCATATGTGGAGTTCTACCTCGAAAAGCAGCTTCGTCGACAATAGTTCGGGTTTTGTAAACACTGTCTTTAACATATCCCGGATATCCCCATAAAAAAATCCTGACTAGATAAAATTAGAAGCAGTTAAGAATTCTGTGAATGCACACTGCATTCACCAACTAATAGAATCATATCAATTCTCTCTGATGTAAGATAAATTTGCATTGTCGGCAAATTTCTGAGAATTATTTTGTTTTAACGGACACAATATGATAACTAGTTGTTAAAGTTCGACTAATTAGACAGCTATGTTGAAGTAACGTCAGACATATCACATCCAACTAGATTTTATCAAATAACAAAGATCTACTCAGATCAAATCATGTAAATGAAAATATCTAGGAAAATCTGTTTGAGGGTAGGCAACCTTAACAGTAATTTGAAGAGACAAGAATTCTCCATTGAATATCGAAATAATATACTGGGTGTTAGGTTAGGGTAACATGTTTTTAAAGGTGACCAATGTTCAATATTAATTTTGTCTCAACCTGTATAACTTTTTGGATCATATTTTAATTTGATTTAAAGTACAATAGTTCATTTAACTACATATTAGGCTATACCGGGTAAATTCCAATTTAGGTAGCTTTTATTGTAATTTAAAAATTGTTCTTTATTTCTAGAAAATGTTAAATATGTCAAAAACCTTACATTTTTGTCATATAGTTTTCTTATAAAACTCACCTTTATTTTTCTCTCAGAATCCGAAAATCAATTAATATATAGAGAGTTACATTACAAAAAACACAACTTTGATATGTAACTTTTTTTGGGAACACTCTGTAGAACTCTATATATTAAGTGCTCTGAATTAACCTACATAAGCTCACAAAATTTCATTTCAATATAAACTGTCGTTCTCCTTGGAGCCCCTGCGGCGTATTAGAGGCTCCACCCTGTACAAAAGTACTTTGATTGTCCGTTAGAGGACATCAAACTTTAAAAAAATAAACACATTTTTTCAGATATTTGAAGAACCGTTATTCCGATTTGAATAAGAATTTGGGTGTCTAAGAGTTCCGTCCACTGCTGAACAAAAGCCTCCGTTAACTCTAGCCATTTCTTTCTATCTTGTGCCACTTGGATCCAGTTTCCAGTCATTCTCTTAATGTCATATGTCCATCGACTAGGAGATCGTCCTCTGCTTCTATAGGTCTCGTGTCTTGGTCTCCATTCCACAAGTCTCTTTGTCCACCGTCCATCTGTCATCCTGTAAGACAGATATCACCGCATCTCTTACTCCTGTTCGATTTCGTATGGTATGATTGGGTATTTTATCGCTAAGTGTAACTTCCAACAATGGAAAGGTTCATGTTGGGATTTACACTAAAAATAAGACATATTATTAAAGTAAAATATAAAAAGTCCCTTATACCTCTTCTATATATCAAAATTTTTTTTGTTGAGGTTTAACGAATCTACTTCTTTAAAAAACACGACACGCGTTTCGAATTTTCAGCACATGCGGCGCGACGCCGTTTTTCAGCGTCCCGACGTCGCCCTGGCAACCGGAGTTGATATATACCACGGCGTCGCCGTTGCCCTCGCTCAGTTCGAGCGACGGTTGGTTTCTGGCAAAGCGCTCCTGAAAACAGACCGGAAACTTCCAAAGATAAATAAACTGAAACGCGCTTCTTTAAGTTCCGCGCGAAAGTTTATTGAAATCGCTCTTAACTCTTCAGTACTGCAATTTCGGGTCGTGTACGACTAGAATTGTCATCGTTGTTGCTGTGAAGAGAAAATATTTCACGCTGAAGAAGCTACTCGAAGACGTGGTTGCGGTTTTTGTACAAGTAGGTTTTGTAGTTTTAAAAGAATCATTCAAAATATTAAGTTAAAGATGTTAGTTATTTCTATTATACTAACAAAAATCTTGAGTGAATTCTAGTTTATTATTCGCGTGTCTTAAGTTTGTTAAGAACTATAATTTAAGCTTCATTTTGAACCTCGCAATTCGTGGAAGAAATTAGTGGTTTCAATTACACTTTATACTTTTTAGTATACGATCATTCACAATGTTTAAAAAACACAATTAAAATTAGTAGAATATCCTAGCAACAGCTTGCGTTACTCAGTTATATCCATAGAGAAAGCCTAATATTTAGCTTATGAAACAATCAACTTTTGATTTCTAACCACAATTTCTCTTGACGGAAGATAATCAAAGGCCAAAATAACATTTCTAGCAAATTTTGAAGTATAATTTGGGGAAAAGTTAAAAGTTTGATAACTTTTTCTACTAATTGAAAATGTCTACCACTAATTTTGACGTTCTGAATGCTTACATTGAAATTAAAGGAACAAACTTCTACGCTAGTTGAAACCACTAATTTATTCCACTAATTGCGAGGTTCTGAATGAAGCTTTAGAGTAGTTTAATTTTACAAATTTGTAAGTGGGTACAATTTATTGGTCAGAATTACATACATTTTGCATTATCTTGTTAAGGCACAATTCCTAATATATTTAAATAACACTTTATGTTAGTTTATAACATTTATTTTTGTAGTTTAATTTTACTAATTTTTAGATACTTTTTTATGGCTGAATTAAAACCTAGAATTTTTTAAGTGTTACGGTTCGATCTCTTCGTTCGGTTCGAAAAATCTTGTCAATATTTTTCTTTTTTGTACTAACCTGAATGATGAAATAAAAATATATTCTTATACATTTAAAAGAAATACTAGAATTAGTAATCAAAAATTCATAGAAAAATTAATTTACATTTATTATTTTTTTAATTACTATACAGGGTGTCCCAGAAATAAGTGCAAATATTTTAACTGGTAGTATAGTTCAACCCCAGAAACACGCCTATGAGGTTTTTTTCGCGAAAAAAAAAATTGAAAATTCGAAATTTTTAAAAAAAATTTGGAAATATTTTTAGTTTTAAGTTGAAAAACATAATTTCTTGATAATTTGGCAACATAGGTATTAGATTAAATTTACAAGGGAGAAAATCCAGAAAATATCCAGTGGTTCTCAAAATTTTAGCAAAAAATTTTTTTTTGGAAATTTTCAAAGTAAAATAACTCCGTTATTTTGGACTTATTAAAAAACGATAAAGAGAAAATATGTTTCTTTTATCGAGAACTATCACCCCTTAAAATATTTGCACTTATTTCTGGGACACCCTGTATAATACTAATATAACTTTTTTTAATTACTTTACATCTATTATGCAGCTTTACTGGAATTAATTTCTTATTAATATACAAACTAGTTCTTAGTGAAGCCGCTTTATTTGATATATTTGTAATTACACAGGGTGAGTCTTAAATAAGTATAAATATTTTTAGAGGTAGTATATTTCGACCCTAGACTGACCATTATGATTATTTTTTCGCGAAAGAAAAAATTTGACAATTTGGATTTTTTTTACCTTTTAGTTAAAAAACATAATTTATTGATAATATGGCAACATAGATAGTAGATTAAATTTATAAGAAAGAAAACCCAGAAAACATCCAGTGGTTCTCAAAATTTAAGCAAGAAATATTTTTTTTTTGAAAATTTGTATATGAGAACCAATATCTTTCTAATGTTTTAAAATTGTTCTATTAAGTTTATTAAAATTTAAAAAAAAATCTTAAAAATATTGACGTTTAATAATAAAGTTGAGCTTGTCTAGCCCACAATGTTATTTTCATTTGATTGTCCTCTGTTTTTTTTTTTCTCTAAATGTCTTTAGTTCTATCTGTGATTAGGGCGATCCCTGACCTTTTTAAGCCTCTTGGGTTCCGCTGGGTTGTAATTTTGGTAGTCCACCTGTTGTTTAATCCGTATTGATATTTGAAGGATTATATTCTGTAAATTGAATAATTTCAGGGGTCTTCTGTCTTATCCACTCAGTCCTATATTGGACGGTCTTTATTATTCATCATACATCGTTCTATAGACCTTTGTATTACCTGGAATTTACTTATGGATTTTTGCTTATACATATCCAAGTTTCAAAGCTGTCTACAGAGCGAGTCTTAAATAAGTGCATATATTTTCAGGGCTGGTAAATCTTGATAAAAGAAATATAAATATTTTCTCTTTGCCGTTTTTTAAATAAGTCCAAAATATCCGAGTTATTTAAGTTTGAAAATTTAAAATAAACTGAATTATTTAAAAAAAATAAGAGCCACCGTTTTTTTTTCTGTATTTGCATCCCTTTTAGTACCATAACCACAGAGCAAAGCCATTTTTTTGCTGAGTTTGCAAAACTTTTTTTAAATATACAGGAAAATTTAAAAGAAAATGTACGATTTTCAACATTGTTTTGCAAAAAAACCTCATTGGCGTGTTCTTTGGGTCGAAATATACCACCCCTAAGAATATTTGCACTTATTTAAGACTTACCCTGTATATTGAATAACAACCAGTTCACTGTTCAAAATGGTGATTATCTTCAAAAATTTAAGCTGGTTATAACCGTGATTATAAAAATGTCTAAATCCAGGTATATAAGAACGTCAATGGTTAACCGTTGATAATTTTCTTTTTGAATTTAATTATTTTGTATGCTTATGTTTTTGTAACTCATTAACAAATATTACTTATACATATATTAATAATGACAAAATATCATTTAAATTTTCTTTGATTTTCGGTCAGTTAGCATCTCATTCAAAATATTTAGGTGTCAATTAGAAAGATTTATTTACGCTCGAAGTAAAACAGTTAAATATAAACAAAAATATGTCGAAATGATTCATAAACATTTTTGCCTCCATTACATTCTCGAATAAACAATTTATTACTTTTCAAACTGGCATGCCGTACAGCTTCTTGGCTCCTGGCGAAGTTATGCCACTAATTTTAATCTCCAAAAAAACGGTACGTGTTCAAGGGATTAGTATCTTCTAAATTTCGCATGCCAGAGAAAAAGAAGAGTTATATAACGTGTTTGTATTTAATCTTTAAGACACCTGTTTATGTATTAAATCTTCAAGGCATTTAATTTTATATGGAGAACATTACTTTATTTTGGTGAAAAATTTAAAATATAAAAACATAATATGCGGTATTATAAAGATATGCAAAGTTTAGTGTTCATAATGAATTTATAGAAATTATAATATACCAGCGTGTACCAGCGACTTCGTTCGCGTCAAATTGAGGGGTAGTTTCATCTCGTTGGAATTTGACTTTCGAAAAATCCATTTGCCAAAAATAAGCTTTTTACGTCAAACAGTTTAAGCAGAATCGTGGTTAAGAAATTACCCAACTTTTTGGAACACCTTGTATGATTTTTTAAAAAAATGCAAAATATGTAAAAAAACTAAATAAATTATGCTTGTCCAAGCGTTTTCACGAAAGACTAACCGTTTTTTAAATAACAAATATTCTAATATTTGAGGGGCGTTTTCACCCTCTTGGAATTAGAGATTCGAGAAACCCCTCCTTATCCCCAACTCTACACCCCACAGTCAATCCTTTTGCCAAAAATCAGCTTTAAACGTCAAGCAGTTTAAGCAGAATCGTGATTACTCAATGGTTAATCTTAGAATATGTAAAAAACAAAATAAAATATACGTGTTTAAGCGTTTTTTCGCAAACTTGACCGTTTTTTAAATAAAAAATATTGTAATATTTGAGGGGTGGTTTCACCCTCTTGGAACTGGAATTTCAAAAAATCCCTTCTTATCGAACCTCTACACCCTAGAATCAACCTGTATGCCAAAATTCAGCTTCTTACGTTGAGTGGTTTGAGCAGGATCGTTATTAATCAGTATGTCAGTCACTTAGGGATTTTATATATTAGCATAGATAATAAAAACATATATTGGGTTTGCAATGTATAATTTATAATTTATATAACATAAAACCCAATATAGCGTTAATTTTTATGGTTCTTAACTGGAAAAGGCTTAAAACTGGAAAATTCTACCGTCTGGAAATAGACTGAGGGGCGTTTCGAAACAACAAAAGCAGCCTAGACGCGTGGTTACATCGCGGCGCGATTTCCTGGTTTTCCGAGCTGGATAACCGGATAATATGTGGCGACAGCCGCGTTTTGTAATAAAGTAGACGGGGATTAGCGCCGATCTTAATGGGAATACGTCGTTTTCTTTTTGATTCTGGAATGTCAAAGATATCGTAAAATCCACTTTAAAGAGTTGCGAGGCCGACGAATAAAATATTTATTTATTTCTGTCTGAATTAGCCATAATTTATTATTTCAAAGCAACTTTTCTCAAAAAGGTTCGTTTGAAAACTCGACTTTTGTCTTAAACGCTTCATGCTGTGAAGGATAATTGTCTGTTTTGAAGTCTTGGTGTGCTGTTGACAAGATTACTGGTTTCGGTTGCTTATTTATTTGAATGAATTTATCAATTAATTTAACAAATACATTAGGCGAAGAAAACAAAGTATTCCTATGTAATGGAAGGTAATGAGAAAGCAAATGATCTAGCTAGAAAACGAGGGACCACTCTACTAACTGGACCAGAACCGTTCCGCTTCTCAAGTGGAAACCAACTCAAAGCGGAACTCAAGAACTTGGAAGACTCCATCCTTAACTTGGAATGGGAATCCTGCAACGGTCTAAGACACTGGTAGAAGTTTCTTAGGACTTACGAGGGGAATATATATTTATCGGACACTGTTTCCTCATTGAACATCTCAGTATATTGAAGCTAAGCGTACAAACATAGTGGTGCATCTCGATACGATGCTCGCCGCGATGCATCCTACGCGCACGTTTTAAGCACTGTTTTTAAACGGCGAGTAAGTGCGCGTAGGATCGCGGCGAGCATCGGCATCGAGATGCCTCACTATGTTTGTACCCTAAGAAACAACGGCG